ACCACTCCTAGATCATTTCTGAAAAAAAAAAAAAACAAAAACAAAAAAAACAAAACTTCTAAGGTACTGTAAAACAAGAAGCAATGGTTTAAAAAAACTAGTGAGTAAACAAACTGGTAAACATCTCATTTACTACAGGCAGCAACAGCAATAATAACATATTTGGTGGGTTAAAATCACAGCAGGGCTAAAATGTTAGGAAATATCACATGAAAGAGATGGGAGGTAATCCAATCAGAGGTTCTAAGAGTTTGTTCTGGAGGATGGAAGAGATCCTGAAACATGTACAAGGTTAAAGGTAAATACTTCAAGAAAAGAGTGCATACCTTACATACTAGGAAGGGAAAAACAGGAACAGAGAAAACTCAGTAGGTCCAATTGGAGGGAAAAGAAAGGAAGGGAAGGAGGGAGGGGAGAATAGGGAGGAAGGAGGGAGGGAGGGAAGGAAGGGAGAGTACGGGGATAGACAGCCTATAAAATGATGGTAGAAATAAACTTATATAAGCACAGTAAATTATAAAAGATTAAATCTCTAATAATGGAGATAATAAAAATGCCAAAGCCAGCTTCATTCTATTTATAAGATAAAATCCTAATGCAAAATGACAAAAACAAAAAAGAAAGTTGGAAATGGACGGAAGGGGGAAAACATGCCTAGGATATGTCACCAAACAAAGAAATACTGCATCTGTGTTGTTAGCAAACAAAATAGACATTAAAGCATAAAGTACTTTCCCAGATTGGGCTATCCAGTAGTGATCAGAGGGAAGATTTATCAGGACACTGTACCAGTCTTGAACAGGGATGTCTATGGTCACATAGCTTCCAAATATAAAAAGCAAAGTAAAGTGAATGACATGAAGGAGTGGAAAGATCCATAAGCCTGGTGAGAGCCTTATATCTAAAATAGAACAACAACAATGACAGAAGTTTGAAACACAATGAACACACTTGATCCATCAGATACACATTAATCCTTGTACTCAGTTATTAGAGAATGAAACCTGCTTTCAAAAACATATAGACAAGTATTAGGATAAAAACAAGTCTCTGCACAGACCATGTGGTATACAGACCACAATGTCATTTAATCAGCAGTCAATAAGAAAAAAAAAAAGACAGCCTCAAAGCCCATATATTTTAGGAAATATTAAAACAGTATTTAATAATTTACTGATCAAAAATATGGTAAAAATTAGAAAATTATCACAGCTGAATAATAATGAAAACCCTATATAAACTAAAATGCAGAGAGAAATTATACATATGTATATATTTATTATATATATGAATGAAGTTGCAAAAACTAAGCATCAAACACAAAATGTTAGAAAATAATGAAAAGTAAATCCCAAAAACATAGAAGAAAGGTAATAATACAGATAAGAAGCAAAATAAATGAAATAGAAAGTCAAAGAAACAACAGAGAAAATCTAACAAACTAAATGATGATAGTTCTTTGAAAAGGAAAAGAAAGCAAACATTTCTGTTAGTACTGAGAGGGAGGGAAGGAAGGAGGAAACAATGGAGGGAGGGAGTTAGGGAAGGACAGAGAGAGAGAGAGAGGGAGGGAGAGGTAGGGAGAGAGGGGGGAATGGAGGGGAGGGTGAGAAGAAGAGGTATGGGGAGGAAAGGGGGAGGAAAGGGGGAGGAGAAGGGAAGGGTGAGATTGATTTAAAACCAGGAAAAGTCACAAATACGGCAGTATTTTTAATCAAAAGAGAATACTATTAACAAATGCATGCAATAAACATGAAAAGTCGGATGGAATAGGCAGTTTTCTAAGAAATATAATTACCAAAATCATTTCAAAAAGAAATAGAAATTCCAAAGATATCTAACAACTGGAAGGAACTAATTCAGTAGTTGAAAATTTACTCCCACAGGAAAAAAATAAAATAAAATAAATAAATACATAACCTATCACCTGTTCATAGTTTTATGGGTAAACTTTACCAAACCTAAAAGAAGCAGATAATTTAATCTTATACAAAATGTATAAGATCCAAGAAATTTTATGACAATAAAATGACCTTAATAACAAAGCCAAATAACAGTATGTGAAAGGAAAAGTGTAGCCCACTCTTCTTTTTTTAAAGATTTATTTATTTATTTATTTATTTATTTATTTTTGAGGGGGCAGGCAAAAGAAGAGGGAGACAGAAACTTTAGCAGACTCCCCACTGAGCGCAGAGCCAGATGCAGGACTTGATCCCAGGACCCTGAGATTATGAGCTGAGCTGAGATCAAGAGTCATGCTTAGTCGACTGAGCCAGCCAGAGGCCCCTAACCCACTCTTTTTTTTGAGTACAGATGGCAAATTCAATATAACATGAACAAATGGACCTAGCAAGATGGTTTTGGTTTTCGTCTTTTGTAATCATGGCAATGAAAGACCATCCTGGGAAAGAAAGCATGTTTTCACATTAGATAATCCATCTACCATTAAAGATATAGTATATATGATATATTTCATGATTTAAATTTTTAAAAATTTTATCAATGTAACTCAACATATTAACAAATTAAAATCATTTTAGTAATTAATGTAGAAAGAATGCTTTGATAAAATTTAACATCCATTCAAATTTCACACAATAGCAACAAGAGCAACAAACACCCCTGAAGAGGTTTTCTTTAACCTAATAAATGGCTAACTATCAAAAATCTAAGGCAACTCAGGAAATGGATAGTAGTTATGGCTGCACAACATTGCAAATGTACTTAATGCTCCTGAACTGTGCACTTAAAAATAGTTACAACGGGGGTGGCCTGGCTAGCACAGTTAGGAAAGCAACTGACTCTTGATCTTGGGGTGGTGAGTTCCAGGCCCACATTGGGTGTAGAGATTACATAAAGAAACAAATAAAACAAATAAAGTTAAAAAAGAAAATCACTGTCAAAATCTCCTTAAAAATAGCTACAAAGGTAAATTTAATATTATTAATATTTTACTATAATTTAGAAAACCCATTAGCATACCGCATGATTTCACTTACATGCAGAATCTAAAAAATAAATCAACAAAGCAAAACAAAACTCATATTTATAGATGAAGAGAACAGATTGGTGGTTGCCAGAGGGGAGGGGGTGGGGGGGATGAAATGGGTGCAGGGGATCAAGAAGTATAAACTTTTGGCAATAGAATAAATAAATCATGGGGATGTAATGTACATCATGGGGAACAGAATCACTGACATTGTGTTAATTTTGTAAGGTGACAGATGGGAGTTAGATTTATTGTGGTGACCATTTCATAATGTATACACATGTTGAATCACTATGTTGTACGCCTGAAACTAATATGATCTCGTATGTGAATTATACCTCAATAAAAAAATCCTATAGCAATCATCATAGTTAACATGGAATTATTAGAAGAAATTCCTTTAAATTAGGAACAAGATACAGTTGTCTACTCTCACTGCTTCTAGTCAACAATTCCAGTTACTTCTATGCAAGAAAACAAGTGTGGAAGTTAGAAAGGAACATTTTCACAAATGATGTTATTGTGTGTGAAAAAAAAGTCTGAGAGAAGCCATACACAAACTATTAAATCTAAAAGAGCATTTAGCAACTGCATACAAGATATTCAATATACAGAAATCAGTGTTCTTCTCATATTCTAGCAATTACCAATTAGAAAATGTAGTTTTAAATGTATGCCATTTCTGATAGCAGGAAAAACTATATGCTTTCAAGGTATAAATCTAACATAAAATTATAAAACTGTATTAAAAGACATGTAAATAAAGAGACATACTTAGTTTATAAATGGAAAGTTCCAGTATTATACAAGATAGCAATTATCTTCAAATTAATCTATAACTTACAGCAATTTTAATTAAAACTGTATCATAATTCATGGAAATTAACAAGCTGATTACAAAATTAATATGAAAGAGGAGAGACAAGAATAGCCAAGACAAAAGAATGTGGAAAAGATATTTGTTCTCCTAAATATCAAGTCATATTATAAAGCTCTAATAATTAAAGAGATATGGTGTTGACAGCAGTACCGACAAACCATAAAACCTGGAAACAGATCTTTATACAGATGGGAACTCACCCTATAGGACACAGGTGCCATAATAAATCAATTGGAAAAAAAAAAAAGACCATTCAATAAGCAGTGCCGGTTAACACGGAACTATATTGAAAAAGATGAAATTAGATGCTACATTATGGCACACACACAAATAAATTCAAGAGGGATTCAAGTCCTAAATGTGAAAGTCAACACTTTGAAGTGTTCAGAATAAAACTGTTTGAGAATACCATTATGACATGAGGGCAGAAACTAATTTCTTAAAGCACAAACACACAAATCATAGAAGAACAGAAGAATAAATTAGACTACATTAAAATAAAAGCAAAAGAAAATTTCAATGCATCTAAAACATTCTAAAAGGTGAGGAGTCAAAGGACTAGGAAGACATATGTAAAGCATACAACTGCAAAGAAATTGCACCAAAACCTAGAACACCCAAACCGGTAAGAGTAGATTCATCACCCAACAGCCAACTACCAACAGAAATGAAGGGGAAAGAAACCCAAATGATCAATAAAACCATTAAAAAAGGCCCAACGTCATTAGGAATCAGGGAAATGCCCAGTAAGCAACCAAGACTCATTCCCCAGACACCATATTCCAGCGAATCCTGAAGATTCGATGCCTCCAGGAAAGACACCGAAGGATTTTTTCCCAACAGATAGCTGAAATGGCCAACCATCAACTGGGAAAACACCAATTAGGACTTTTTCCAACCAACAATAAACTCAACTAAAAACCTCGTCTATTCTAGGATGCATTCTCAAGCATTTTGAACCCTTCCCAAATTCTAAATGATCTGACAAAGCCAAGTGATGTTTTTTCCAAGCTGGTGGAAACACTTCCTCATACAAGAGGGCAGCCACGTTTCCATCTCTCATTGTGAGCACGCCAGACACATTGGCCCATTGGAGTTCTACACTGAGCAGAAAGGAGGCGGGAGGCTTACTTGGAGCAGTCTTCACAAGCAATGTTCCCTGAGGTTTCCTTGATGGTGCGCTCAGAGACAAATGCTGGATATTCAGTATCACAAGGTTCCAGGGTCTGTTTCAATTTCTGGGCTGTAGGGATAGGAAAAAGAAAAAAGAAAAGAAGATAAAGAATAAAGGCACAGGCTTTCTTGTGACTGGCAGCCCAGTAATTCAGAACCCAGTTCCACTCCTGCCGTGCTGTGATTTTTCTAGGCACAGCATAATGCATTATTTTCTAATTAGTCAAGTGATTTCATCTGCCAAGCAACTCTATAAGCTATAATTCCTCAAGTCGTTGTGTTGGCTTCATCCACTATCATTTATGGATCACAAGAATACTTTCTGGGACAACATAAGTCAACGGGTCTCAGACTTCAGACTTACTTGAACTTAGCAACAACACATACGTGTATCTGAATAAATGTATAAAATAGAAGCTACACCATATTATTTAGGGTGAGACAAAGGTCATGATACAACTATGTGGTTTTATGACAGAAACAAAATTGAACTATGGAATAGTAAAATACGTAATGTCTTTGAACCACTGCCATGAACCTCATCCTACCCTTATGAAGTTCCTTGTCCAGGAATACAGCACTAGATAACCCGGGTACATGGATGGCTACCTAGTAGGCATTGGGTAATGTCTTGGTGGTTGATAAAATAATGTAAACAAGTTATGTCCAGTGGGGAAGTTCCAGAAACTCTTTACGTTTAAATTATTTTCAATGTGTAAATCGGGGCTAATCTTCTTCCTCTATCAGAGGGTGAAGTGAGAGGTAAATGAAACATTATATGTTGAATATTTGGTAGAGTACCTGGAACATAATGAGTGCTGAGTAAATGTCAGTTAATAATAATAAATAGTAACAACAGTAATCAATAACAAGAAGAATAACACTAGCATTCTAATGAAGCCATTGTAACATTCAAATGATGATGATGGTAGATACTGTAACAGCGGTTAAGGGTGAAGACTCTGAAGTCAGAGAAGTTTGGAGTATAAATCCTGTGCTTCATTGCTTCTAACTAATCCTCAGTATTCTCTTCTGTAAAATGGAATGCCAATAGTACAGTACTTGTCACAGGACTTGTCACCCATTAACATCTTACCAGTAGGGGGTGCCTGGGTGGCTCAGTCAGTTAAGGATCTGACTCTTGATTTCGGCTCAGGTCATGAACTCAGTGTTTTGAGATGGAGCCCCGCATCGGGCTCCACACTGGGTTGGAACCTGTTCAAGATTCTCTCTCACCCTCTCCCTCTGCCCCTCCCCACTCCTCTAAAAAAAAAAAAAAAAAAAAACCCAAAAAACTTACCAGTAGAATGCTCATAGGTTTCCAATACCCAAACTTTGTACAAAGTTTTTGGCTGATGTTTATATGGAAATATAAACATCTATTTATAAATATATAGAATATACAATTTACATTTCCGACTCCAAAACTCGACAGGGTTTTAACAAAATGATGTTTTGACAAAGTCTCAAGTTATATTCCAAATACAGTTGGTTGGATATCAGAAGCACAAGGACATGTTTTGTGACCGTGTGGAGGCTGCCAGCACTAAGTGAGCCCAGGATTACTAAGTGCTAAAGGAGCATTTGGTAACCACCAGATATTTGTTGGGTGATCAGGAAGCCATGTTCCAAGCATGTATATCCTAACGTGATTGGTTGTTTTTTTTAATATAGAATTTTCACTGAGCGTTAATTATATTGAGGAAATTGATTGGGGGTTTGGGGTTAACGCATAACACATTGCCATTTTTCTCATCTAAAACAAAAGGAAGTGGATTCAATCAGTTTTTTTATGTACGACATGTGATTTTTCAGAAACTGGTCACTGACATTAGGCATGATGCCCATGCTAACTCCCTGAGTTGTTCTGAATGATGAATAGACCGAGGCAGGTACAGCTCTTAACCAAGGGACACGCGTGCACACTTCCACATACATGCAGGTGTGGACACACACTCAGCCTTCATGAAACACTAGCCGTTGGAGCGTGTCACCACCCACGTGCCAGGAGCTGGGCAAATTACATACATAGCAGCTAAGGGCACAAACTAGGGGTCATGAATCTTGCCGCCGCTGTGGGACAGCCGGTGAGTTCAATCTCTTGGCACCTCCGTGTTCTCCTCTGTAAAATGGGAATAAGAGGGAATAACTTCACACGGGTGAAGGATCAGATGAATTAATGCACGGCAAGTCGCTGGTGCACTGTGAGGTCTCTTGAAGCGAACATGCTTACTACCACACGACTACGGGTTATTGCGCGGAATCCTCAGAAACGGCGGGCCTTTCTGAAGCAGTACTTTCTGGTTAGAAAAGGCCAGTGACTACCTCCCTGACTCCTGGCTCCACTGTAGGGACAGCACGGGCGAGTGTCATGCTCCCAAAGGCCCGGGTCCCCGACCCTGCCTGTCCCTGGTGCCCTGCGGTGCTCGCTCACTGGCAAGTGTTATCAGATGCTTGCTGAATATCTGAATAATTCCCCTGAATGGTGTTTTTCAGGCAATCAAACAGACAAAGGGAATGTAAGCATCTCAGGCCTTCATGACAAATTGCCTGCCTTCAGGGGGAAGGCAAGGTCAGTTTTAGGAGGCCCGGGCCAAACAGCTACAGCACAGAGAGGGGCACGTGATGGAAACAGCACTCGCTTCCAAGTTCTTCTCCAATGTCTCTGATTTTGTCAGAGGATTTTGTTGAGGACATCTTTGTTGGATGCTAGGGAGTTTTTCCCACCTTTCTTTCTTTTTCGTTTTTCTTTCATTTGCTCTTAAACCGCCCCCCCCTTTTTTTTTTATCTGGGGAGGCCACCCATAAAGCTCAGAGCATCTGGCTACAATTTGGTCACACTTTTTATTTTCATGGTTTTGTGTTCGCACTTGACTCCTTTGTATAGCAAGTGAGAGAGACTTTCCATTCGGGAAACTTCCTTTTAATATTTAAATTATTTGAATTTCAAAAAATGAGTCTGTTAAAATGAAATAAAGATCAAATAAAAAAAAGCCCCAACAACACAGATTATAAGTGGACACGGCACACGCATGCAGATGGCACATAATAAGCTCATGATGGTAATGGCTACATTTATTAAGAAATTACTACATGCCAGATGCTGTTCTGCTTTACTTGTATTAATTTATTTAACAGTAAAACATGACAAAATAAAAAAAAAAAATAAACCGTAAGGTGAGAACCATGGTTATCTCTGTTTTGCAGATTAGTGAATGGAGGAGAAAACCGAACGAATTGCCCAGATTCATCCAGTAAGTATGTGGCAGAGCCAAAATTTGAACTCGGGCCGTCTGGCTCCAGCACACATATATTTAACTGCTCTGTGAAGTTCGGCCAATGAGAGAAAGGAAGAAAGGTCTTTGGGGCTGGCTGAGATAGGCAGCACACATGATTTAAATGGGCCTGATAATTGCACCATCTCTAATTGTGATTGTCTGGGCCCAGTTACAATGGAACGAGTCCAGCGCTCTCAATGGTGAGGCTCATTTGGCTCTGATCCTTCCTGGAAATGAAATTCTCGTTCCCTTGACAATTGCAGGGCACCCAGACTGATGTGGCGATAAACCCTCGTTGATTCTGTTTGCAACACGACTAGAGATTGGCTGCAAGCCTCTTGCTGTGCTTTTGGGCCACATGCGAATTATCGTATAAAACCATGGCCACATTTAATCTAAATGACATGGTTTATTATGAAGACCTCTCTTTGTCTGGAGCGCTATGGACAGCACACACATTTGCCAGTCATTACTGCTTCTCTATGCAATTCTGAATCCATAGCTCAGGCTTCCAGTGATCCCCAGAATGCTGGTTGAGCCTTTGGGCACTTACAACGCATTATCTTACAAAGCTGTCCGTACAAGAGGTCATGAAGCTCAGCTAGGCTGATTCCTTATTGTACAGGAAACCGGGGTTCAGAAAGCAGACATGGCCTGCCTTGAGACCCCCAGGAAGAGACTCGCCATGACCATCATTTCCTTAAACAGCAAAAGCACCGTCGCCACCTTCACAGCCAATACTCATAAAGCACCTACTACATGCCAAACACGACATCAGGCCCGTTGCGTGGACGGAGTCCTCACCACCATGCAGTGAGGAAGGCCTGCCGCTTTCCTGTTTTACAGACAAAGAAGCTATGGCCCAGAGAAATTAAGTGGCGCTGCCTGCCCCAGGTCACACTGCCACGAGCTCGGGAGCCCAGACCCGCTTCTGCATGGTCACATCCTGGCACCACCATTCTGGGCCTTCACACTGCTCTACCTTCCGTCCCCATTAGGCCGGCGGTCTCAAGCTGAAGCCATGACCTACCACTCACTCACAGTGAAGCACCCAATGGAGCATCCACACAATTGAATTTCTTTAATTTTCCCTTAGCAACAAATGTCCCTGATGAGAATAACTGACTTGGGTTCACAGTAATTATGGGCAGACAACTGGGAATGAATAGAGTTGCCATTTGAAAAGCTTTCCTCTTCTTTTGTCTCTGTGAATGCACCCCCATTCATACTCGGTGCCAGCAAGCTCCATTCTCTTTGTGCAACTTCGCCAAAATGATACCTTTGTGATAATCAGGCAGAAATGGGCGTCCACAGTCCCCTTCATTAAGGAAATGAAGCAGATAAACAGTGTAATTATGGATTCCATTTTTAGCTAAACAAAGATGTATGTCTCAGTGCAGGGTCTTTATCTAGTGAGGGAATGGTAAAATTAGAATGAAGAAACCTTGCAAGTCAATATTGCTGTGAAACTTTTCTCTCCGTATGCTCTGGGTCTAAGAATTTACATTTTCCTTTAACAAAGATACCCAGCCGATAGCAGCCCCAAGGACGAGTCCATGCACCCCCATTCGAATTCATTTCTCCATCTGTGAAACGGAAAAAGGCAGCCCTGTCCAGCAGAGGCCTATAGGCCCGAATGAGACAATCCACGTACAGAAGCCAGTCCCATACAGGGGTTCCAAGAAGGCGGGCTGCCTTGCTCACTGCCATCTAGCCGAGCTCTTGGCTCATGTCTGAGCCCATCATCTAGTAGCTGTCTGACTCAAGTAGCTCAGAAAGGTTTAGTGACGAATTCCAGCAGCCCCCACCTCTCAGGTATGATGAAATGATCTGAAGATCGTCTGGGCCCACACTCTGGAAATGGAAAAGCACCACACTGGATGTTACCACATCGTGTGGTGACGATACAGTCATTTGCCAAGGTCTCACAGTGTGGCAAAAGGATGACATGACTTGGAATTATCTATTAAGGAACTTTTTAAAAAGCTTCTAAAACATAGCACGGAGAGACGAAGCATCGCCTGATGTCTCTTAGCTGAAATTCTCCTTGCTGCTGGTCCTGGTACAGGTGGAGGAGGGGTGAGGGGATATGAAATTTCAGAATGGGAACCTTCATACATTTCTGTAAGCATCATGAGTGCAAAGACCATATCCTTCTTCCTTTAATTTTTTTTTTAAAGACTTTTATTTATTTATTTATTTGAGAGGGAGTGGGAGAGAAAGCACAAGAGGGGGGAGGGTCAGAGGGAGAAGCAGACTCTTCACTGAGTAGGAAGCTCGATGTGGGACTCGATCCTGGGACTCTGGGATCATGCCCTGAGCTGAAGGCACATGTTTAACCGACTGAGCCACCCAGGCACCCCGTATGCTTCTTCCTTATTCTTCATCCCCTACCCTATGCTCTTCGGTCTACACCAGGGTTTCCCAATAGTGACACTACTGACATTTTGAGTAGGATAATTCTTTGTTGTGAGGGGCTGTGTGTCCTAGGATGTTTAGCAGCATCCCTGGCTTCTACCCACTAGCTGTCAGTAACACCCCCAACCCACCCCCAGTGGTGACAACCAAAAATGTCTCCAAACATTGCAATGACTCCTGGGAGAAAAAATCCTCACCCCCCCATCCCCTCCCACCCCCAGTTGAAAACCACTGGTCTGAGCAAAGATCACAGTGACTGGCACACAACAAAAACTTTTAAACTGATTGTCAAATCTGAAGGACCAGCACAAGAGGGTACACAGATGCCTGCATCAGCAGGTCATGGGGAAGGGAAGCAGGCCCGGGTGAGTAAGAATGGGGGAAATGGGGATGCAGGTTGGCACGAAGAGGTGGGCCATCCTCATGCTCACCTCGGAAGCTCCTCAGCCAGAGGTGGGCAGGCATACGGTTGTGAAGAGGGATGCCAAAAAGCAAACCCTGAAGACGACCAGCCTGCTGCCCTCAGCACTGAATGCACTCCTAAGAGCGTCTCAGTCTCAGGGTCTCAGTCACAAAAGCCACCGCTGCCCAAAGCGTAAGCACCACCCACCAGCTCTGTGCCCTGTCTGCCCGTGGGCTTGGCGTGCACCTCCTAATCCATCTCTCACACCCGCGTTAGGTCCGTGGTTATCTCTGCTGACCAACCGGGAAATCAGAGCCCAGAGAGACCAAGAGACTTGCCCAGGAGCAAGCAGCTAGCCAGCTGCAGAAGAAGGCTGCCTGATTCCAGGCCAGAGCACTTCATCTAGGCAAAACGGCTGCTCCAGCCTCCCAGAGCTTAAAGCCAGATTCGAAGCCCAGGTGACTTGTCCCAAGGGGCTGGGGCTGTGGTGAGAACAGCCCTGTGACCAACTTGCAGTGCATTCTCTTGACCTCCATTGATCTTCCTTCTTCCGTCCCTCCCTTTTAATCTCATCTAAACTTTTCCCTTCCCAATAGTAAACCTGTGGAGAAGCTAGTGGAATAAGGAAAGTAAATAGAACAAGGGAGCAAGCACCCATTTAATAGGTCCTTTCTCAGATCTCACTTCCAAACCATGTGCAGTTTTCATCGAAAGCAGGTTTGTGTTATAGGCAAAATTTTCTTGGGGGACATAATAGTCTTCCCTTCCTAATTCATATTTTGTTCTTTGCTTATTGACTCCCCACTGGCCATACTGATTGCTGACCCTAATTAAATCCATATCCCCCTTCTTCCCCCACCATTGGATGCTTTTCTGGGGTATGTACAGTTCTGTATATTGTTTATTTTGCTATATTACTTAATTTCATGAACGTTTTTGATCTTGTTAAAAAGATCTGTTTTTGAAACAGAATCTTATTAAAAGGTTTTCTCTGCCTCTCCGTGGATGGGCTGTCATTTATTTTGAATTGTCCCTATTGTTCATCACTTAAAGAGTTATCAGTATTTGCAATCATCAGTTCCTTAGTGATGATCATCCTGTCCTAGAATCCTTTGCTCCTACCCCAGTTTATTTAGATTTCTAGAAGTGGGCTTAGGGACATTCAAAGCAGGTCCTAACCCAACAGGAAGGGGCAAGTATGGAGCTCACATACTAAGGGTCACCAGGACAGTGTGAGTGTGTGAGTGTGAGAGAGAACAGGGCACACAGATGCTGTTTCCCTGGGCTCTCAGCTTCTCAGGATTGGGCCGACCCCAAACACGCTTGGATTAGGTTCACTGTAATCAGAGGCCATCCGGTGCAGCTGTGTACCCATATACACCTCTCTGTAGGTGTCCTTCCATGTCATACTCTAACAAGAAATGAGGGAGCTCCTGAATTTAGGCAACAGAGGCCTATTTGTAAATTATAATGCTATGATGAGAGTGGCTATAAAGGTCATACCCGGCATAAGAATTGTTAGGGTATTCAGTAAGTGAAGACTGAGCGCCTACAGTTCACTGAACACCAGTTAGGTGCTAAGGGATAACAGCGGTCATAAGGCATAGCTCTTGCCATCAAGAAATTCAGGCGTGAAGCCAACAAAGTGAGACAATGATGGTGCAGAAGAGCTGGGGAAATAAATATGTGAGCTGACTGGGATGGAAGCAAGAAGGAAATGCTGCTAACTCTTCCTGGAAGAATGGAGGGAATCCTGCCCGACTGGGATCTTAAGGGACGGAAGAGGAAACGTCAGATCGAAATATAGCCAGCCCCTAGGGAAGGCTGCAACATTGTTAATCTACCTCTTTGAAAAAGACAGATAATTAAAAAATAATAACAATAAACATGGTAGCTGTCTAGCGTACTGCTAGTTCCTGTCATCCCAGGTAAGAAAATGAGCAAGAATGAATGCACGCAGGAAAAGAAAGAGCAGAGCGTTATCTGAGAAGCAGCGTGTGATGGAGCAGGTGGGGCAGATGGCTGCGAGACCGCCCTCATGAAAGAGTACCGGCTTCGTAGGGCCTCGGGACTTGATTAGTCATCATTGTGGTCAACAGTGTCAACGCTGGTATCGGAAGTTAATTACAGTTGTCATTTTTTGAGGGCTCATTATGTTCCAGTCACCATGCTCAGCATATAGTATGATGTATCATTAAACACATACACGACAGGAGGTAAATAATATTTATTATGTCTCCCAGTTTGCTTACTATGGGGAAACTGAGTCTTGAAGAGATCAGCTAACTTGCCAAAGGCAAACCTTGGAGCCAGGGCTGAAATCCCTACTCATCTAACTGCAACTCACACCTCTGAGAGTTTCTACTAATTACTGCTCAAATCGCTGAAGGCTTTTGAGTGGGGAGAGTAATATGATTAAATTTATATTTTAGGAGGATAATTATAAAAAAAAAATGATCAAACAAAAAACCAGAGTGGTTATCCATATTCACTCAAGTTTGAAAAAGGCAATGCGTCTCCCTTCGATTTTAAGCACTGCCCACAAGCTTGTTGAAGAATTCACGGGTGCAACGTTATGACCTCAAAGTCTTACTTAAGGAAATGGGTCAAAGTGTGCATTCAACGTGGGCAGAATGAAACCTGTGGAATTTCTGGTCAGACGGGACAGCGCTGTAGTCAGCACAGATGCTGATGGAGCTGAAAAATCATCACTTTGTCCCGGGCAGTTGTGCGTGAGCCCATCCTTGATGAAAAGTAGCCAGTGAACCCTGGGTTTATCACTCTGAGCTGAGAAATGGGAACTAGCTGCTGCTTACCTTTAGCTGTCATATCTGAGTGCCACCAACTGCAGAGGTTAAATTCCACCAGGAACCTAAGCAGGGGATGCAAAAGCCCAGGGTTATTTGGTTATCTGCCCCCTGAATGGGACAGCGACATTCTGTTATTCAGCATCGCTCACTGCATTTGAAACAGTAACATGATTGGAAGGTACCAGTACGGTTGGTTCTGTGACCACGGAATTTTCACTGGGCTTTATCTTACTTGTGAAAGGCTATTTGATCACCAATGCCAGCCAAACCCTGAAATCGGGTTTCCCTAGACTCAAGGACTCTGTGGAGAAATAACCTGCTTGTAGGCAGAAATGGTTTTCCAGTTATAGGCTGAGTCTATATAGTAAAAAGTCAATTTCCAAAGGGCTTCCTCTGCCTTCGTGCACAGATACAAATAGCATATTCTCTGCCTAGACTATGATCTGCAGTAATAAAGGATGCTTTCCAGATTTATACTGCAATGCAAACCTGTTCAGCCCTGTGTGTGTGTGTGTGTGTGTGTGTGTGTGTGTGTGTGTGTGTGTGTAGGCATAGATGGAACAAACTTTTCTTGATGAAATTATGCCACAATGCAACTTCAAAAAAAAAAATCAGAATTTCCCAATTGTTAGTAAAAAATGCAAAAGTAATATAAACCATCCTCCAAATGAATAGAGATAGATCAAAATTCCATCATTTCTCTTTTAGGCTCATGACTGCTTCCTGCAGCAGCTCACTATCAATCAAAATCTCCCTATTGTCTGTTACTGTATTTTCTGCCTCTTGTGTACATAAGAGAAATGAATTTCAATTTATAATGTTGTTAAATTAATATAGGTTACATTAAAGCAATGAAGAAGACAATGGCTGTTCGTCAAATGGTAATAAATCTGCCTCAAACACTCAGAAGTGGACCCACGGTGGGCAAAATCAGAACCTGAGAGTGTGGTGCAGCTTAAACAATCCGGTTTTCATGCTTGTCCATGGAATTCCTCCCTTTCGTGGGATATGGTGTTTCTGTCATGTGTCCAATATCTTTTCTGGGAGTCAAGCCTTTCATCTTTGTGCCATTTCAATCTGACCTAAGTCACAGATGCATCTAGCACCCTCCAAATAGGACTGTAGTTTGACAGGGTAAACAATTAATTCACACCTGAGAAAAGCCCCCAGCCCCTGGCCCACGACTGCACAAGCCCCCTTCCTCCCCACCCTTGCACATGCCAACACATCCAAAGGAGCACAGTGGGCAGCCCTGGCAATTTGTTCTTCTGACCACAGCCCACCCAGGCTGCATTAAAAACAGCCAGACATCTATGTTAAATTTAACACTAACCACAATAAATAAATTTGGTTTGTATATTGCAAGCTGTTAGTCTGCTAAGCAATGACATAAGGGCATAAGCAGTGACCATGAATAACTGAAAGATAATTTTTTGGTCTCAGCTTTCAATATTTCGAGATGTTCAATGAGGTTATCTCAGAGCATTCTGAATCTAATGGTTGTTGAAAACATGAAATGAGGTCTTCCAATTCACTTTATAATACAAAAGAAAAACAATATTACTCTTTAAAAATGAAGCAAATTGTACTTACAAGACAAGTTCTGTCATTATCCATTTTACTGCAGCAAGGAAGGCATTATAAGGCTGAAGAGAAGAATTCAGTTCATTGAAAACAATGCATCACATATGAAATTTGTAGTTTAACTTAAGGCTTTACATAAAGACAATGTTATTCTTCGAGAGAGATTGATATCACCTTAAAAAAACAGTGAAGCTCTAGCTAAAAGAAGAACATGGTTGGATACTGTATCCTAAAACTAACATTTTAAAACTTTGAACTCCCCTGTAGTGAGATGTGATTTACAAGTAAAATAAACATGATCTAATACAGGGGTTATCTCTGGGAGGAAAAAGGAAGTTCAGCGAACAATGTTTAAAACTTTACCCTCCAGGGGCTAATATTTTGCAGCCTAATGCTGAGGGGCTAAAATCATATAACTAATTTCAAATGGTAATTCACAGATCTGCCTCTCAGAAAGGTGATTCCCTGTTCTCCATCACTGTATGTCATTCACTGAAATAAGCACAAGTTGCATATACTTGATTTTAATGTTGCCCATGAGTAATGTAGGATTTAAGCTGCCTTTTCTCACACATACATATTTGGATTTGGAAAAAAAAAATGACAACCATGTAAACATGTGATTTTATCCTTGCAGAAAATCCCCTTCAACTCTATAAAAGAAGGTATTGACAGCTTAATCTTTATTTTAGAATATTTTAATTTAAAAAAGCAGTTGGATTGTTTACTCTGTGATATTTTCTACGTGGATAATTCAATTTCCTGAATTCTGGAAAATAGCAGGTCTCCCCCTCAGTTGGCTCTTTGAATCTACATATGCCAGATATTCCAGTAGTGGATGCACTTGAGAGAGGCGCTGACTTTGGCAAAGGCCTCCCTCCCCCGCCCCCCAGATGGCAGGTCCAGAAAAATCTCAGAACCTTTTGTGGTTGCCTTTACGTTATCAGAGAATTGAAATGCCAAATCCTGGTCTCTGAAGTGATGGATATTTAATCCTACCTTCTGAGCATTTTGATGATAAAGATGAGAACTAGGAATGGGGGAACTATCCAGTTTTAAATAAAACAAAAAAACAATTTATATACCTCTAACCATTCTTGACATTTCCCTTTTCAAGTCAGTAAGTCAGTGAACAAAATAACAATAATAACAGTCTACTGGGGTTATTCTCAGCCCACACAGATTTCAGACTGGATCTCTTGCTCTGATTTAATTGAGTGTGTCAACATCATTCCCTCAATCACAGGGCCCTCAGGATTAGGATCAGATAAGGCTGTGAACTATTAACCATTTCCTAAAACCGAATGCTACCTGCAGTCCGGTGGTTCTGCCATTATATTTCTTATTGCTTGGAAAAGAACCATCTTTCTTTCAAAAAGACCCTGGTGGTCAGACCCTGGGACAGTTCTGTGCCTTTGTACCTGCCAGGATGGGTAGTGACATTTCAGGGGTCCTTGGTAGTGTGGGTCCTTGGGAGGAGGGAATGAATAGAGGAATTAGGGTGGCTCTGGAGTTGGGGAGGGGCAGGCACAGGGGCAGCTCCCTCGGGGGCAGGGGTTTGGGTGGGAGGGTAGGAAGGGCACTCAAGCATTCTGTGCCAGACACTGGTTCAATGTATGGGTACACAAAGGGATTATGTAAATACAGGATTAAAAATTTAAATGCACATTATCATTCTGAAGGGTAAAGCCATTGAGCTTTTAAGCCTAATGATGAAAACATATCTTGGGAACGTTTTAAGTCTAGAAATATTTATGCTAAGTCTAGGGAATTTGGATTTGGAAAGGCATGTTGATTCTCACTAAAAAGCGGTATTTTTCAAAACATTCAACTTTCAGTTCCTAGTTGCCTTTCAGAAATTTTCCAGCTCCAAATCATTTCTTGCTCCCTCAGTGGAGGAGAACCACGTTAAATAGTTGGCTTTTAAATAATTTCCTTGCAAGATCTTACATCTGCAAATGAGAAGGTGTGTGTTTATATTTTAAAAATGAAAATGGCTCATAAATTTTGTGTTTCAAACAAGATTTTAGGTTAATTTTTGGAATTTACAAAATGATAATGTGCAAAGATTATATTTATTATATACACATGCGGGGTTATGTCGAAGTATACTGTAACTGTTTTTCCTGTGTTTTCAGGTGATGGGTAGCCAAACTTACATTGCTTATACATTGTCAATTATGTTTTTTAACTGGGAGTAAATTATGATAGTTAATTTCTGGCAGTCTGAAAGCCTGTTTCTAATGACACACTATCTATGTTGATTGGTTCTCCACTGTGACATCATGGCTGGAACCAGCTCCGGCGAAAATGATACACTGAAGCTCAGCAGCATCCTGATTAGGGTAGAGAATCTATGAGCAAAATGTGAATTTGTTCACAGGCTAATAGGTGTCTTACAAATCAAAGGGGAGATTTCTGATGAACCAACTCAAATTGTCTTTTATATGAGAATGAGAGAATCTCCAAAACTTCTTCCCTTTTCTATCCATCAAAAGGGGGCACATTTGTCCATCAAAGATGTCAGACCCACTTGTCATTCATACAATCAATGGATTTGGGTTTGAATGGAAGTGGTTTTTCTTAACCAGTAAAATTAAGAGACACTTTAAAACATTCATGGTTTCAAAAAAGATAAACTTGATTACTCCAAAGATAAAGATATGCTCACACTCAGAAACAGATAGACACATGCCCCTGTTTTTTGGGTGACTGCACTGTACTTACATCCAATAGCCCTCTGGCGCCGTCACTGCTGTCCTTGTTGGCCCTGCACATGGCTTGATAGTCATAAAGGGTAATTCTATAGGAAAGAATAGAAAGGAGGGTCACTAAATGGGAAGCTACGTGTGAACCAGCATGGTGAACGGTCACCACACCACCACCAAGTGCAGCAGTGACAAACACAAATAAATGCAGGCCTAATAAAGATGACAAATGAGGAACATGCAAAGTCTAGAACTGGAGTCACGGACAGGTCACACTTGGAAACTGAAGAGCAAAGGGAGTAAAGGTATTGGGATTAGATGAGGAGACAGGATTGAGAAACCCCCCAGCTTGATGAAACAATCATTTTGGTTTAAACAAGGTTGATTTGCATGGACGCGGATACTCCAGAGGGACGTTGCTGTTCTGAAGTGGATTCTGGGCCCTGGAGGGAATCCACTTGGGCCATGTCTCCAGGGTGGAGGAGAGCTGGGAGGGGCCATTTTGAGTTCAGAATTGGCAGGATCCTCTGTCTCTCTCAAGCACCTGGACCAAGATAAGTCTGGCACTTTGACAATTTTTTGGAAACCATTTGGCTCATCTGTTGTAATCCCCACTCCCAACTACCACCACCATAACAGTGACTATATTTTTGCTTTTGAAAACAGTACCATTTTTGAAACAAGAATATGGATATTTTTTTTCCTCCACTGATGATGAAAGTATAGCTCTCATTTCCAATTACGACCTTTACTCAATTGCCAAGACATTTCATTTTATAATTGTTCCAGATATTTTAATTCCTCATCAACAACTTTACAGAGAATAGAGAATGGCGGTTTCTGGTAGCCACTTAAAGGTTCGAGAAGGAGCAAACATCTTATCCCAAAGGCAACATGTCTTCCATCCTCCTACCAGCTCCCCTTCCCGCTACTCTGGTACCCCAAAAAAGAGACACTTGAAGTCTGGCCTGAATTACATAACTGCCAGATGACATGTTAATACTGCAACACATGAACTTCTAAATAACTGCAAGGAATTCTCCCAGAAGGGATTCCTTTCTAGAATAATACAGTGCTTAACCTGGAGCATATTTAATGTTGGGCTGCGAATGGACACTAGAATAAAAGTTCCATGCAGCAGGACAGGTGTTGGACCCCGAGCACTAGCCCAGCACCCAACATGGAGAAGGCATTCGGCTTCCAAAAGTTGAAGGCATGAATGATTGCCTGATTGCCTGAGTCTTGAAGAGATGATGTCACAACTAGATAGAAGAGGTCAAATTCAAACTATGGGATGAAGACCTCCTCTTCTGGACAATATGCTAGAAGCATCACACAAACGGATTAAACAGAGAACCATCTATGGCACCAAGTAGAAAACTGACCATGCTTGACCAAATCAAGATGGAAACGGGCTCCTGACCAGCACCACAAAGGTGTCTGGTAGCAGAGCCCAGGAGGGCCCCAGTGGTCACACAATCTCCCAGCAAATCCCCAAAGCCTCTCCCTCATCCAGAACATTTCTTCTAGTCTTGTTCACTGTCCTCTGGCTTTTTTCTTTACAGCAGATGCCAGAAGAATCTGAGTTTATTGAGACAGAAATGAAGCCCATGAACCAGCCAAGCATCTGGCTCAGGGAAGTCCCTGAACAAATTTCCAGTGAAATGTTCATCATTGGCATAGCCCTGATGCTACCCCCAACCATGGAACCAACTGCAGACCACAAGGGACAACTCTATTCAGTCTCTCACTGCCCCACTATGCCATAGTCCCCACCTCATCCAGGGGATTTCTGTAGGTGCCCCTGAAAGGGCTTTCTAGGACTTGGCAAGAATTATGATTGGCTTCATCCTTTTCATACTGCTCAACTCTGTCCCTACAGCTGGAACTTGGGCCAGAGTGTGGTGAGAGGCAGCATGGGTTGAATGGAACATGCCTGCGCTTGGAGTCTTGTAGACGTGGATACAGTATGGCCTCGGTTTGAAAGGTTATTATCCGGGTGCCATTATCCAGGGTGCAATCTTTTTTTTTTTTTAATTTTAAGATTTTATTTATTTATTTATTTGAGAGAGAGAGAGCATGCACGAGCAGGGGGAGGGGCAGGGGCAGAGGAAGAGGGAGCGTGGAGCCCGACGCGGGGCTCAATCCTGGGACCCTGGGATCATGACCTGAGCCGAAGTCAGATGCTTTACCAACTGAGACACCCAGGTGCCCCTCCAAGGTGCAATCTTGAGCAAGATGCTAACCCTCTTCTGAGGCTTCATTTTCTCCCTTGTAAAATGACTCACAAAGATGTCCCGAGATTTAAATAATCAGACATGTGGAAATACACTGAAATATACTATGTAGCATGCTAACTTTGTTATGATCCTTACAACAGAAGGCCTCATTTTGTTCTTTGTTGGAGTTTGGGATCTTAAAGCTACCCCATTCCCAAGGGCTCAAGTGACTGGCCGTATGGCCTAGTGGTTAAAGCAACAGCTTCGAAGTCAGTAACACCTGAGCTTCATCCTAACTCGTCCACTTATTACAGTGGTTTTGTTTGTTTTGTTTTGTTTTACTCTTTGGGTGCTCAGTTTCCTCTGTAAAATGGTGAGAAAAGTGGCTACCTTATCGGGAGGATTATGGGATGACCTGAGGTTATATACGTATTGCATTTAGCACAGGATCCGGTATGGAGGAAGCATTCAGCAGAAGGCAAGGCTGCAGCAGCTGTTATAATTTATTAGTCTGGTTTTCATTGCCATTATTAATTAATGGGGGTGGTGTTTAATGCAATGGGAATTGACTCAGGCTTTACCCAGATGGCTGGAGGATGGACAGGCCTCCCGATTTTCTTAGCTCGTTGGCACATACAATGCAGCGTAAAATTTGCACCTGTTACTAAGGTACAAGACACCTTCAGGAGTCACACCAGGGTTATCGAGACATGACGGGAACTTCTGTCCGTGGGCTTCATAGCTGAGGACCATGATAACAATAGCTCATGTCTACTGAGCTCTATTTAGCAACCGTGAGCAAGGTACTCTTGGAAGCATATCCCTACAAGATAGATTCTAATCATCCCCATTTCACAGAGGGCCAAACCAAGTCTCAGCCAGCCTCAGTAGTGTGTCCGAGTTCACACCCCTAACAAGTAGCAGAGGCAGAATTAGATGGGGGTCAAGCTAAATCCCCTTCACTCTGCCTTCTGCTTAGGAGTAGGCTCTGACAGATTCTGGGAAATGCTTAGAATTCTGCCCCGTGCCCTATCCCAGTCTCATTGGAATGTCACAGAAAACGCTACCCAAGATAAGGCCTCGTAGCCAAAGTCCAGAATCAGCTTTCAAGTCTGTGGTCAGTGGGCCAGGAGGGACCAACTGGCCGGGCTAGCGAGAGCCCCTCAAGAGCCACCCTCCCAGGAAGCTCGGGATTCTCCTGGGATCATTTTCAAAGGCTCTCCTTTACATGGTGAGGCCAAACTCAATGGCTGTGGGGCAGCCTCGGGGCCAGGGATCCAGCCTTTCATTTCCCAAGAAGTTTTCCCGATCCGATTGCCATTGAGGAGGTTACAGAACAAGCCTCCCCTGTCTTCTCCATGCTTAGACAGCTTTAACTAGATGTTGCAGAAAGAGAGACTTCCAGATTATTACCCTTTTTGAAGTGATTTTGTTACTGTTTTAAATAACTCCATTTTGTGGCTACCTGTATCCTGTTTGGCTGATTATAGTTAAAGAACATGATAATTGCCCGCTTTCATTCGGCTCTAAAATAAGCCCCGAGCTGCATGCCCAGCCCAAGACTGGTGCTGCCCCGCTGCACTCAGCAGCGGGAGTTTATTCTTATTACAGATAACATGCCTTAATCTCCATGACATCCCCACCAGGCCACTTCAGCCGCAGGCTACAGCTGAGACCTTATCATTAGCATCTCTGTGCTCCCTAGACTGGTCTCTTTGAAACTCTGACGGAAGGCAGATACGGTGTCTGAAGAAGAAACTCAAAGTGCTGCAGAGAAAACATAGACAGCCCTGTGTGCCCCGTGGATGACAGGCCCATGACACTGGGACCTGCTGAAAGCGATTTTGCTGATTCTGCTCTTTTCCAACGAGACAAAAATCACGACCAAGAAAAATATTTCTTCTAAGAACTAGAAAGTTCAATCTCAAAGGCATGCACTCAGCTAATTTTGACTTGTGAGGAACTGCAGGGACCAGCATTTATTAAACACCTACTGTGTGCCCAGGAGGCCAGGTCCTTTACCTGCAATGACTCACTGAATGAGGTCTGGCTAAACAATTTGCCTAAAAACCAATCTTGAAACAGCTTAGTATTTGCAAATACAGTCCTAAAAACAGGGTAGGGAGGCATTTGACATAGAAACTCACCATGGGACATATTTAAGCGTTTTTGAATCTACAAGTATGAGAAGTAAAGTGACTCACTAGGGTAGCATGTGAAAATATGTATTCTTTGTCGAGCCTTAAAATGTGTTCTCTGGGGCAGCTTTCAACTTGCAAGTGATAGGACAGGGCACGGGAACACAGAAAATTCTTAATAAGGCCACTGTCATGATGGGAAGGCTTACTCGTTCTTACATCTCAGAAAACCAAGAGGGGGGAAAAGCTCAATCTGTTGATCTGAGTGTTAACAGAAAATCCAAAAGGTGCTGTCCCCTCTCTCTTTTTCACACTGGTGGCCCATGTCATCCCAGAGCAACTTCTTACAGAGACTGCACCACTCTTCAAGGTCAGCCCAGCACATGGAACACAGCAGAGGTGCTCAATTTACATGACCCTGGCCCTGCCACCTTTGAACCCCTGCCTGGGAATCCCTGGCACAAACCTAGTGAATGAGCACCCAGCATTAGCAGAGAAGAAGCGCCATGTGGCCGCACACAGGGTCCTGGGGCCACCGGGGTCCACTGCAGAACCCTGAGGAGCGAGCCATGGGGAAAAGCCTCCCTCGTCCTATACATGAAGCACCAAATGCTTTTCATCAGCACGTGCTGATAATATAAAACAAAGCAAAGTTTCAGAGAGTGGTCATGTCAGCATCTCACCCAGGTAATAAAAGTAGTAACAATAAGAAAGAATCAGTTGCTTGGCGCCAGCATG